AAGAATTGATTTTGAATAGTGATATGATGGGAAATGTGTGGTTGAAAAAGAAGATAAGATTATTGATGTGATAGAAAATATTATTTTATTGAAAAATGTGTGGTTGAAAATGAGAATTGATTTACTGTTGAAAATGAGAATTTGTACCAAACATAGCCTTAGTAGTATGTTTTTGTAGAATGTAATAGAACAGTAGAACTTGCTATAAATGATTCAAAAGTATTATATGTCGACTAGTATTTCAGGAGTTCTGTTAATCTAACTGTCTATTAAACTCTATTAATATTAGTGTCTATGTTGTCTATTCTTGTATTGCTCGTTGTTAAGCATTTCAAACAATATTGAAGAAGAAAATGAAGTTAAAATCTCATTTATCGTAACACTCTGTGCTCTACGTACTGTTAAACAACATCTCATCTGTCAATTCTTGTGAATTACGATCTTAGATTCTAGTGTTAAAATTAGAAGTAGGCTTTTTAATTCAAAGTTCGAACCGGAATTGTCAAAAAATAATAATTTAGGAATCGAAATCGAAAAATGATAGGATCTCGAATGTTCTTGGTTCTTGATTCGGAATTGTGGGTGCATAATTTTGGAATAGAATTTATCTTTTTTGTAAGTTTTTTTTTTTTTACAATTTATTCACCCCGACTCAATGACATTGTTCAACAAATAGCAAATTTGTAAGACTCAAAAAGTAGCAAGTTTGCAAGACTCAAGTAGTGAGTAGCCTAATTAATCAGATTCATTCAATAATTGAATAATATTACTCTCATTTGTATTCACTATTGACCGTACTGTACACGTTCACCTTCTTGAGGTGTTGCACCTAGAGCTACAACCAAATTGGATGGTAGGATTATCTTGCTAGATATTGAATGTTGTTTGATGATATATTTGCTGTGAATTAAGAATCTTGAAATATGCACTTGGTAACATATTTCATTTATTTTAGATATTGAAAGATAATATGTTTTGTCAACATAATCTAAAAAATTGTTATGTATAGAACCGAAATGAAACTGGAACCGAAGGGTTATGTTTGATTCCAATAATTACGTGACCCCAAATATTTTATTTATGAATTACCTGAATTGTAATGATTAGTTTTCGATATTGAAATTTTTGGACCGATCCATCAGACATCGAAACATAGTTAACATCTTAATCCAACATAAAATCTGGCCCCTGTTTTAGATTTTAATCAAAACCAAAATTAACAATTAATTTTAATAACATATTTTATGAAATTAACAAGTTTTTAAGTACACATTTAGACTGTGTTTTGTAGCAATTTTTCTAACAAAAAAAAAAAATGAATTTTCTGACGTTAACATCAAATTCAGCCGCAAAGTTTGACTAACCCTCTCACATGCGGGTCCCACGACAACATTAAACGGTCACAGTTTTAATTAAAATTGGGCCAAAATTACTACCAAATAGGCCATTAATTAACTTTTATCATAATTTACTACAAGTATAGTTTTATTCCCCACCAAACGAGGACAATAACCTTCCAATATTAGGGCCCTGTTTGGGAGGGATTAAATTTTTCTACAGTAAATCAATTCTCATTTTCAATCACATATTTTTTAATAAAATAATAATTTCCATCACATTAATAATTTTTTCTTCTTTTTCAACCACACATTCCCATCATATTACTATTCAAAAATCAATTCTTCCTCCAAAAATCCCTATCAAACAAATACTAGGGTCAATGCCAAATGGCCAACTGACCCCACGTGATAGGTTGGGGGAAACTTTTGGCCCGCTGTGCTTTTACAGGGCCTCCTTAAATTTTCATCCGAAAAAGTGCATTGTACTGGCCTCCCATTGGTTAAATAATGCTAAACGAGGATCGCAATCTGGACTAATCCTCATCGTCCATTACTAATTCAATCTGATGGCCTACATTTCCCCATCCCCAAATTTTCAAACCCTCCCGCCACTCCCAATTTTCACCCAAATCCATATAAATATCCCCTAAAAACAATCAATACCACAGATCATTCGCAAACAAAATAATTGAAATTATTGTTAGTGCTTAGCATCATATCTCAGTAATCAATGGCACGTACAAAGCAGACGGCCAGGAAATCCACTGGCGGGAAGGCTCCGAGGAAGCAGCTGGCGACAAAGGCGGCGAGGAAGTCAGCGCCGGCCACCGGAGGTGTCAAAAAGCCTCACCGGTTCCGCCCTGGCACTGTGGCGCTGAGGGAAATCAGGAAGTACCAGAAGAGCACTGAATTGTTGATAAGGAAGCTTCCATTCCAAAGGCTCGTGAGGGAGATTGCACAGGATTTCAAGACTGATCTTCGCTTCCAGAGCTCTGCTGTGGCCGCGCTTCAGGAGGCGGCTGAGGCTTATTTGGTTGGACTGTTTGAGGATACGAATTTGTGTGCTATTCATGCCAAGCGTGTCACTATTATGCCGAAGGATATACAGTTGGCTAGGAGGATTCGAGGCGAGAGGGCTTAGAAAGTTAGATGCTTATAAATCGATGGGGGGGAATTAGAGCATCATGAAAATTATGATCTGGGTTGGAAGGTGATTGGAATCTGTTTTGAATTTTGAGGTGTAAACTTTTTGAAATTAAATGATAAATTGGAGAAATTGAGTGACTTTCTAATATTATTATTTCATTTTGATTTGATGATTTCTCAAATTATCTGGGAATATTTACTTCGTTCATTTCCAAATTCGGTCTTGTCATGCTCTGATTTCTTAGTTTGTGGCCTTTCCATGGCTTGAGCTGAGGTCTTCAAGCTCGGTTGCTTCATCATGTCTTGTTGGGACGTTAGTTTGACATCATTAATTGTAAAGGATAACTATGCTCAATCCAGTTGAATGGATGATAAAAATTCATTTGCTCCCCACTTTGTAGACTTTTGTGTTATTTTGAGTGTGTTTGATGGGTTTTATTAAGGAATGAATGCAAATATTGATATGATGATAAATATGTGGTTAAAAGTAAAAAAAAGTTATTGATGTGACGAAAAATATTATTTTATAAAAGAATATGTAATTGAAAATAAGTTTTAAAAGAATGTGTACCAAATATGAGCTTTAAAAACTCCATCTTCAATTATTTGTAACTTTATTTTTATCTATTTGTAATTATATAGAATAATGGTATTCATCATCATCCATACCCGTAAGTATTTAGATGACTTAGCATTTAGATGTCATTTTAAGGGTAATTAGTACATAATGTTTTTACTTTTTATTGTTATTGTAGAAAATGTTTATATCTTTTATTTTTTGACATTTTTATTTTTAATTCTACATTTGATTTCGCAAAAAGGTCATTTTCATTCATTTTCATTCAATTCCTTGAAAGATATTCTTGTCATTTTTCTTTTTTCCCCATTTGAACTCATTTTCTCCTCTGAAATATCAAATTCGGCCAAATCTAGATTGGCTATGTTCATGTATGCTTGAGCCCTTCTATAAAGTTCCTTCACGTTCGTACTCTTGAGTTCTTACACCTTCACATACTTTTCTCATTAAGCAAATGAAATCCATGATTTGAAAAGGCAATTAAAAGGAAACGATTATCTAATTGAGCTAATCTTTGTACGCAGCTTCTCTACCTACTTATAATCATTCAGTTTTAAGTTGCAAGTTGCATTGTTCATATTGCAAGTGATTTTTAGTGCTTTGAACCGTTTCTTTTCTTTTCACTGAACGAGGGTTCATACACAATGTACTTGGTTGTTTGAGTTCAAAATCCCTCGTGTGAATCACATGACTTAAAGATACACGGCAAATATTACTTTGCTATCAAATCAAATGAAGTCAAAATCCCTTGGGAATGGTTACTTTTTCATATCTTTTTGAGGTTCTCACATATTTCCCGACTTTGAACAACACGTTGCCTCGTTCTTCTTTCTTACCGGCAATCTCAATCTTTTCTTGATGTTCATATCCCAAGAAACTAAAGGTTAGTTTTCAGAGAAAGAAATAGAGGAGAAAATGGGTTCAAATGGATGAAATATTTTGCACAATCAAATACGAAATTAAGAGCGAAATGTCAAAAAAATGGAAGGTAATGACATTTTTCACAATAATAGTGAAATTATTGTGAAAGGTAGGGACATTATGCACTAATTACCCTCATCTTAAATATGAGATTTAAGATGACATATTAGTTAATGCTACATAATCGTTGACTTGTAAGCATATTTTATTGAACGAATTTCTAGCATTCTTTCATAAAAATTTTGGTTTAAGATTTTTACCTGAAAAGAAGAATTCCAAAATCTTTTGGTGGTTGAACATCCTTAATATTTCATGTCCACGATTTTGCATTTTTCATCATTCATATGTTTAGGGCTGAGCAAATTCAATCAGGTTGGTTGGGTTGGAAAATCAAATTAAGGCCAGGTTGGATCACGGGGTATGAATTAAAACCCAATCCAATCCAACTGAACCCAATGAATTAAAAAAATTTAGTTACCCAATGAATTAAAGAAATTTAACCATTAAAATGGAAAAACCTAAACAAACACAATAGTTGAGACGAGGACTTAAAATGTACAAACGTCCCTTTTTTAAGATAGACCGAGTGACATGAATACTATGTACAAATGCTAAATAATGACGATAAAATAAAAATTAAGGACGTGATAATGAAATGAATAAATTCCAAAAAAATTACAAAAAGTAAATGCTCTATAATCTCAAACTTATTTATATATTATTTTCAGAAAGAATTCCTTACATAGATTAGAAACAACAAAGATTTTCAAATGGTTTCAAACTTTAAAAAAAATTTCAAATTCAAGAAAAAATAACTAGATCCAACTTGAATCGGGCCCAAGTCCAGATCGACTCAATCTTGGTTGGGTTAGGATGGGTTGGGTTGGGTTGAGTTTGGGTTTGGGTTTGGGTTGGATAAAAAATCGACCCAACTCAACAGAACATATGGTCTCAATTTCAAAAACAATGGAAGGTGATTTTTTTTTTATCAACAATCTAATGGTCAAATGTTGTGAGATTTCATGCCAAAAAATGTGTTCTAGGCACTAGTCTATTTTGGTGTAATTTTTCATACAAATTTTCACACTATTGCTGTCACCTTTTTTCTCGTCCTAAACAAGTATTGGAAATTGAGGAAAGTTGAATAGAGGTTGAGGGAAGTGAATTTGAATTCCATTTAAACTATTCCCAATAGCCAACTTTAAGGTCTTGTGGGTTAGGTCATCCTACATGTGTGACCCACGATCTGATTTTTACGACATCTTCCACTCATATACGATAAGCTTGACCCAAACCATACAGACAATAAAATATCACACTTTAGATCATTCTAATGATCTATTTCACAAAGATTCATATCGCAAATACATCGTGACAAACGAGTACATATTAAAACTCACGGTATTATAAACCTCTTAGGGATATATCTGTACTTCTACTAGAGGTGTATCATATCTCGCTATACCCTAACTCATTTTCCAACATCAAGTCGAGTATTTGAATATGGAACATATTTGAACTCCATATTGTATTTTTGTATTCACAATTATGTTTTATATCCTAAACGATTAATATAATTGTTCGGTCCGATAATACAAACAGAAAAGTTGGTCAAAATATTTTTCATTTCCTACGGATCCTTAGCTTTAAATCAACTGCTTTCCTAGACATGTTCTATCAAATCGAATCAATCTTAATTATTGGTAACATGCCAAAGTAGCTATATTGAAATAAAATCTCGAGAAATAGTAAAAAATAATAAAGGTATATATGAGGTTATATAAACCTCAAAGACTCATGCAATGAGGAGGCATCGATTCATTTACTTATTTATCCAATATCGATAGTAAAAGAACACGAGGTATGAAATACGTGTTACATTGTTTTCTTTCTCTCTTAGGGCGTATATCATATCCTTTAAAAATAAATAACACCGTACAAATAATTGTTCAGGCATTCCAGATAATCTAAAAATGAGAATTTGATCTCACTACTAAACATGTTTAATGGATAGCATATTCCATTTTGATTGCTTGTTAGTAATTCTCATCTTGATATTTCATCAAGATGAATAGATAATGTGCACAATATGATTACTTTATCTCATCCAATACATTTTGAAATTGTCTAACTTCATTGCTCGTGTAAGTGAGTCAATCTTAACCTATTCAACATATTTTATATGTGTAAATAAATCATTATCTAGTAATCACAATAATCTATTACACATGAACTCAAATCTGTTCATCTATGGCTTATCAAAAACTATCAAGAGCTCTCATATACATAATATTGTATTTTACACAATTCCAGAGATTCTACATCACTAACAAGTGTGTGTCCATATATCTTTAGAGCATGATGATTACGTATCATCACTTTAGTAGATATATTGTAAATGCACTTTCTTAGCTAATATCTCTTATAGAAATACTGTGAAGTGTCTGATTCCATCATGATATTTGGGATCCGCAACACATGTGATAGTTGCTTAACTATCATAGATTTCATATCCTCAACTAGTATCATTATATGCTTAATGCATCTACACCAAAGTTTTCCGTCAACTTTTTTCATCTGCACCCCTAATTTCACCGTTCTAAGTTCATCTATGCGATCAAAATTTAAAAATTTCATATTAACATTGTGTTTGGAACAACACAACACATGGAGAGCGAGGGTGAAAAAATCATTTTACTTTTTATTCTTCAGATTTTTCAAAATCCGAACTTAAGTTTAAAACCTCATAACTTGTTCGTTTTAGGTCCAAGCTGAAAAGATCATTGAAATAACTTTCTAAACATACCAATATGAATGCATGACAATCAACAAACAGAAAGTAGTAAATTTTAATGTTTCTAGATAATTGATTAGGGTTTCAATTTTCTCCCAAATGCAATAATAAAATTGATGAAATACAGCATATCAGATACAAAATTCCAAAATTTTCATTAATTTTAGGTTTGTATTTAAAAAAAAATGCCATTAAAAACCACATAAGGTTTCAAAATTTAGCATACAAGATTCATAACCCATTTCAATTATGTAATGTCATATTTAAATATGAAATGCTGTAAATAATTCAACCTTAAGGCTCTGATATCCGTTAAAGCATTTGCAACACTCTTTAACATAAATTTCGGTTCTTCGTTCTTATTTGAAAATAATAATTCAAATGTTTTTTTTACCTTTCTATTTCATGTCCCCAATTTTGCATTTTTTAGCACTCTTATGATATCAATCTCAATCACAATAGAATGAGATTATTATCCGCAATCTAAATGCCAAATTTTATGAGAGTTCATGTTAAAAATGTGGTTCTAGGCACCTTTTTATTTTGGTGTAATTTTTCATACAAATTTTCACACTATTGCTTTCATCTTTTTTCTCTTCTTATCCAAGATAAGTGTAGAAAGTTGAGGGGAGTTGAACAGAGGTTAAGGGAAGTTGTGAGTTTGAAGTCTGTTCAAATCATTCCTTCCAACTCACTTTAAAGT